TGCAAAATGGGCTCCAGTACAGACTGAGCCCATCAAGTCCATCATGGCCGTCTTATCAGTCTCTCAGTTCACCACAGATTTGTCCACTTTTTCAGTACCTACTACAAATAACACCACAGTTTCTGAGGCCCTGACTATGTCAGCCACAGCCTCAGAGATCACCATAAGCCTTGACTTTAGTCTCATCACCCACCCCCAGGCCTCTACTTCTGCCTCTGGGGTCCCCACAGTCTCTACCAGGGTCTCTGGACCTTTCATGGTCTCTGGACCTTTCATGGTCTCTTCTATCACCTTGGTGCCCATCAAGGCCATTGACTTTTCTACTCAGTCCATCACCAACACAGCTGTATCAGGTGCTGACCACCATGTCTTCTCTAAGCACACACATTTACCTCCAGTGTCAACCATCACCATTTTGCTTGTTTCTGTCATTTCTGCTCTAGACTCTAGTCAAGCCATCACTCCTGTTAGATATACTTCTGTTCTCTCTTCTTGAATCCTATTTATTTCTACTCTGTTCTCACCTTCTTTTGTCCAATGTCCATCATTTCCAACCTAATCAGGAACACTTCTTTGTAAGTATCTCCCCCCAACACACACACACACACACACACACACACACACACACACACACACATTAATTATATTCCATCACTTCTGCCTAGAGGGAACTCACTTTAACTCTGTGACAAACACCCTAGTTTGTCAGATGCTGTCATTTCCGTGCCAAGCACAATCAGCTCTGTTCCGTCCACCACCTGTGACACTGCCATCCCATCTTCAATATATTGAGCCCTGGTCCAGGGACTACAAACTACACTTCATGGGCCAAATCTGGCCTGTTACCTGTTTTCCCAAATGAGGTGTTATTGGAACATAGCCACACGTACTCCTTTATATCTGTAGCTGCTCCCCAGCTACTTTGCATACTCGTGGCAGAGACTTTGCGGCCCAAATAGCTTAAAAATTCACATCTGATGACCCTTTATAGAAGGTGTTTGCCAACCCTTGCTCCAAGTTTGGTTAAGACCAAAAAATGATTTTTTTCATCTCTGGCACGTACTCTGAATAAAACCACCTCTGCACTTGCCATCAGCACTCATGTTGGATGTGATTCTACCCACTTTGTCCTGAGCTACCCAGTGCTATTCCAGTGACTGACGCTGTTCTTGTATCAGTGTAACCACTTCCAGGCTAAGCACAACCCTTGCTGCTGATGCCACCTGCTCTGTGTATTAGGTCCTCCCGCCTTGTTCTGAATCCAGCCTCTCCTTCCCTAGGGCCAGCCTCCTCCCTGTGGTCAGGTTCTTCCACATATGTTCTGAGCACACTCACCTCATCTTTGTTGACCACCATGATTGTGTGAGCTTATGTCACCTGTGCTCCCAGCCGTGGCCACTGTCTCACCCCTCAGTAAATCTGATCCCATCATCCCTTCCTCTAGCAATGTCCTTATACCCAGTGAGTACATTATAAGAATATCAGACCCTATCTCTTATCCCAGCCTACCCTCCCTATTTGGGTGATCACTTCTAAAATTGAATACATCACTCCCAGTCACGTTTCCTCAATCTTAGTCTCCACCATCACCAGCACCACCCGTGGACAGAGCCTACCTCCTCTTCTCTAAGACACTCACCTCTCTCTGAGGCCCTCATGGTTTCAGGTGAATCACTTTCCACCATCTCTCCTCCCACCACAACAGCTCTTCTCAAACCACCACCACCATTACTGTGTTAGATCAATCCCTCTGCTCTAAGTACACCTGCCTCCTCTTCAATTATTGTCACTACAAATGCATCATATTATGTGATCTGTTTCCTAGGCACCTAGACCACTGGAACCAGACCAACCACCCCCATGTCTGTCACGATGGCCCCTGCAATGGACTCCATATCCCCTGCTACCAGGAATATTGTCCGTGAGATGGACCCAATACCTCAGACCCGGGCACATCCACTTTTGGAGCACCATCTATCAGCTCTGTTCCAAATACCAGGAACACTGGGATGAGATCTGCCCAGGAGCCAACCTCCACTCCTGGAAGCAGTATCACCTCACATAAAAATAGACTCAGTCATCACCGGCATAGAGACAGTTACTATGAGCCAAATGCTACCATGGGACTAAGCCAAGTGGATATTGCAGCCCTGGGGCATCATCCTCATCTCTCTTTCTGTAGTTGTGGTGGGTATTGGACCATTAGCAGGACTGCATTTTTGGCTGGTGAGTATCAAGGCTGAGTTAACAGAGGAGCCTGCTAAGAAGGTATATTATGAATGGGAGAAGAATTCATGTAAATAGTGCTATTAGGATATCCAGAATGAGAGAGGAGAATAAGTTGGTGTGCTAGGAGGAAAAGAATCATGTAGCATGCTATGAAGACTAGAAAGAATGATTAAATCAGGGAAAGTGATAAAAGTAAAGTAGAAAAAAAGGAGGAAATACACAAAATTGGGGCTAATGTGAGAGGATATTTTGTGAAAGGGGAGGAAAACAGAAGGTTTTCTTAAACAAAATCTGAAAGTAAGACTGTTTTAGCACTGGAAGAAGAATCTCCAGGAAGTAAGGGGTCATTGGGCCCTCACTCTGCTTCCTGATTTCCATTGCAAATTTTAGCACCAGTTACCCATGGACACTTCTTGGCCTCTGATAGTTTTGCACAGGCGGAGATAAGTAGTCTACCTTAGTTTTCTTCAGCTCAGCTGCTAGACAGGCAATGTCAAAATATTTCACTAAATCTGAGAGAGAACAGGAGGGAAATAAAGAAAGAAAGCAGGAGTGGGGGACGCCTGGGTGGCTCAGTCAGTTAAGCATCTGTCTTTGGCTCAGGTCATGATCCCAGGGTCCTGGGATCGAGTCCTGTGTCGGGCTTTCTGCTCAGCTGGTAGCCTGCTTCTCCCTCTGCCTGCCAGTCTCCTTGCTGGTGCTCTCTCGAGCGCTCTGTCAAATAAAGAAAATCTTGAAAAAAAAAAAAAGAAAGGAAGGAAGAAAGCAGGAGGGGTGCCTGGGTGGATCAGTCAGTTAAGTGTCCCACTCTTGATTTCAGTTCAGGTCATGATCTCAAAGTTGGGATATTGAGCCCCATGATCAGCATGGAGTCTGCTTGATATTCTCTCTCTGCCCCTCGCCCCCCCCTTGCATGCTCTCATAAATAAATAAATTAATTAATTAATTAATTAAATAAAATCCAGGTTTTGTCTGGGCTGGTCACTCTCTGACTTCCCATTGTATCTCTGCTTTCTGGTCTTGAACTTTCTTCAAATACATATTTTTCCTATTCTGATTTTTAAATTTATTTACATTTTTCCCATTTTCTTATAGTTTCTTTCACTAAGCTCACATTTGAGGAATGATTCAGGGTACAAATCTGTGGAGTGCTGGATGTAGGTCATACTGCCTCACAAGAGACTGTGCATCTCTTCCCAGCTCTGAGTTCAGTGATACCACACTGGTAGCTTAAAAATTCTGTGGTAGAAGTATTTACATTCTAGAAACCAGCAAATGCTACAAATCATGTCTGTTTCCCTCTGGAGAGTCAGGCGTTAAATGATCACTAGTATACCACTGGTAAAAGTGGATAAGCAAATGCAACACATGCTGCAGCCAAAGGCTGGCATAATATAGTCAATTCACTAGCATTCTTTAGCTCAGAATTTTCAGCCTACCTCCATATGTAGGGTACAAAATGAAGACCATCATCTAGAAATGACTTACTAAATTACCTTATAATTTATGTGCAAGATCAACAGATAATGAGAACTAAATTAACTGAGGTTTTACTAAGTGCTAGGCCCCGAGCTGAGTGCTTAAAATGCGTCATTTCATTTAATTTGCTCTACAGTCCTATGGGAATATAATACCCACCTTATAGGTGAGGAGCCTGGAGCTCTGTGATCTTAGTTATTTGTCCCAGCACATGTAGTACGGGGCAGATCTGGGACTCTAACCCAGGGTGGTTTGATCCTGGAGTCCATGCCTATAATCTCAGGGCTCTATATAAATACTCTCTGTCCTCAGCTTCCTTAGCTGACTAATAGAGTGAATGGCTGTGTCTTCTAGGTGAGTCTCCACAATTTCACATAGGGATGTGGATTCACTTTTGTCTTGAAAGTCCAACAGCACATAACCTTACCATGATGCAAAGGGTGTACTGCAAAGGTTGTACTAATAAAGTGACAAGGGGGATGCCTGGGTGGCTCAGTCAGTTAAGCAACTGACTCTTGATTTTAGCTTAGGTCATGATCTCAGGGTTGTAGGATGAAGCCCCACATTGGGCTCTGCACTCAATGCAGAGTCTGCTTATCCCTCTCCTTCCTCCCCCTTACACACTCTCTCTCTATCTCTTAAAGTAAATAATAAATAGGGTGCCTGGGTGGCTCAGTCAGTTAAGGGTCTGCCTTCACTCAGGTCATGATCCCAGGGTCCTGGGATCAAGCACTGCATCGGGCTCCCTGCTCAGCGGGAAGCCTGCTCCTCCCTCTCCCACTCCCCCAGCTTGTGTTCCCTCTCTCGTTGTGTCTCTGTCAAATAAATAAATAAAATCTTTTTAAAAAAAATAAATAAAATCTTTAAGAAAAACTAAAGTGACAAGGAAAGTTGTTTACTCAGATAGAAAGATTGTGAAACAACAAAGAGAGAGAGAGACAAAGACACAATAAAGATGGTAAAGAGAGGAGAAAATCGATGATTCTAGAAAGTAAAAATTCAATGGTGAAAGAGATGATAAAGGGAGATAAGGGATAAGAGATAAGTTTGGTGATAAGAGAAAAGAGAATTAATTTTATAATATTCTTTTTTTCTCCTTTAGAGGGACTTTTCCTTCCCCCTGATAAATAGTGACACTTACTACCCTCATGACTATAGCATTGGCCTTGGTCTGGACTCTGGCCTGTTCCATAGCCTGGAAAATGAACTGGTCCATGGAGGAGCACGTGGCTTTGGACACAGAGTGGGCCATGAATTGAGCCACAGCTGTGGGAGTGGTTATGGCATCAATCATGGCAGGAGTCATGGACACAGAGGAGGCCATTACAATAGCCATGAAATGGATCACAGAGAAGGCCACTAAGGAAGCTACGAAGTGGGCCACAGAAGACCCAAGGAAGCCACAGCAGGACAAGGTGGTTATAGCCATAGACTGGATAATACTATGGAAAAACTATTATCCAGTCTATTATAGTCATACTCTATGACTATAATAGACTGGAAAATATATTAGAAAATATTATAGAAAAAGAAAGTATGGGAGGGCATCATAGAGGAGAAGAAAAGAATGATCACGAAATGATTAAAATGAAGTATAGGGGCACCTGGCTGGCTCAGTCGGTAGAGCATACGACTCTTGATCTCAAGGTTGTGAGTTCAAGCCTCACGCTGGGCATGGGCCTACTTAAAAAAAAATTAAATGGAGTATAAAAATGTTCTCAAGGAGTAAGTTTAGAGATCAAGAAAAGGACCAGCAAAAAGATCTCAGAGACCTTGACCAACATTGGGAAAAATCAAGCAGAGACTGGGTTTGGAGGAGATGCACAGCTTTACCAGGCTTGGACATGACTTCAAGGTAAAGCTTTCTTGAATTCTACCTGAGTCTCAGACCCTATTGTAGGGAATCATAGTGATCATCCTCAGGACATTTTCTCTCCCATCTCCCACCATCCAAGTCATGGTCAGTGTTTTTCATCCCTTTTTCCTCAGGGTGCTATAAATGCTACCACACATCTCTAAGGAACAAAAGCATGCAATAAATATATTATCAGGGGCACCTGGGTGGCTCAGTCGTTAAGTGTCTGCCTTCGGCTCAGGTCATGATCCCAGGGTCCTGGAATCAAGTCCCACATCGGGCTCCCTGCTCGGCAGGAAGCCTGCTTCTCCCCCTCCCACTCCCCCTGCTTGTGTTCCTGCTCTCTCTGTCTCTCTCTCTGTCAAATAAATAAATAAAATCTTTAAAATAAATAAATAAATAAATAAATAAATATATTATCAGGACCACAGGCTTAGTTGTTTTCCTATTTGTTCTTTTAGTTTTCATGGAGTTGTTGTTTTCTTTTTTTAATGCTTACTATATCCCAGGTGCTGTCCCAGAAGCCTTTAAATACATCATTTAATCCTTAAAAAGTCTTTGAAGAGACTTTGAAGTAGACAAAGATATTTAAGTAAGACACAAAAAAACACTAATATAAAGAAAAGTTTGATGATTTGGACTTCACAGAAGTCCAGTATCAGAATGTATCTGCAAGAGAATGAAAAGGAAAGCCAAAGATAGGATCAGATACTGTAATACTTACATCTGACAAAAGACTCATATATCCAGAATATAAAAAGTACTACAAATCAATAAGAAAAAAAACAGGGCAATTAAAAATGGGCAGAAGATTAGATAAATATTTAACAAAAGAGTATATCAAAATGCTTAGTGAACAGTTGAAAAGGTGCTCAATATTATTTTTTATCAGAGAAATGAAAATTAAAACCACAATGAGATACCACCACAGCTATACCAAAATGACTCAAATTTAAATGACTGATAATACCAAGTATTGGCAAGGATGTGGAACAACTGGATTCTTAAACATTGTTAGTGGGAGTATAAACTGATACAATTATTTGGAGAAAATGGCAACACTAAAATTAAACACACAAGTATCCTATGACCCAGAAATCCTAATCCTGAGTAAATATATCCAACAGAAATGAATGCCTTTGTCCACCAAAAGACATGTCTCATAGCAGCTTTACTTAAAATAGTGCTGAGCTGGCAATTATCCAAAGTCTATTAACATTTGAATGGGTAAATACATTGTGACATGTTTATACAATGGTATGGTATTCTCTTAAAGCAAATCCATTTTCATCTCCCCCAGCCATGGGCCTGATCAGGGGCCAGATAGAAGAAGCTGATTGATGCATGCTTTATAATGAACCAGAAGATCCTAGTTTTAATTCATCCTCAAGTCCAAATCAGTACAAGGCCCACATCTAAAGGCAATGCAAGTGATAATATTTCCTCCACAAATGCTGTCTAATTTCAAATTGTTACCCTTAATAATCCCAGAAGATGCCCACCTCCAGGGTGACATGAATGCAATTAGTCCAGGGGGGAAGAAAACTGGCTTCTTGTGTGAGCCCAGCTGATGGGCCTGCACGTTTAGCTGACTCCCATCCCTCTTGGAATTCAATGATTTTTAAGTCTTAATCATTATAGACTAGCTCACATGTAGCCTCTTTATCTCTATTGTCAATTAAAAAAAGAGGGGCGCCTGGGTGGCTCAGTCATTAAGCGTGTGCCTTTGGTTCAGGTCATGGTCCCAGGGTCCTGGGATCAAGCCCCGCATCCGGTTCCCTGCTCCGTGGGAAGCCTGCGTCTCCCTCTCCCACTCCCCCTGCTTGTGTTCCCTCTCTCGCTGTGTCTCTCTCTGTCAAAATAAATAAATAAAATCTTAAAAAAAAAGTTAAAAAAAGAAAGGTGGGGGAAAATGTAAAGAAAAGGTTTAGGTTGAATGAAGATGAGGGTTTTAGATGACCCCCCCAATCTTGCGCTGTTCCTGGTCTCCCTAACTGGAGTCTCTTCCTCCTCCCGTGCTGGCACTGAGACTGACCCCAACACCGTCTGCCATCATAGCAGGTACTTCCTTCCCCTCTCACATTCCATTGTTAGAGTAGCAGCTACCATGAAATGGAAACAACTACTTCTGCCCAAGGCATAGTCACCACTGGGACATATACAACTACCCCTGTCTTGGTTACCACCAATGCTAGAACAAAATCTAGTATTTCTGTTTCAGAGAAAATCAACACTGGAATAGAAACAACCTTGACTGACGTAGATGCCACTGCCACTGAAGTAGGCATGAGCACTTCTGTGCATGGTAAAGCACTTCTGGAACAGATACATCTACTCTTGTCTCAGGTACCACTATTGCTGGAATAGGCACCATCTCCTCCTTCCAAGCATCACCCACTAAGAAAATAGGCATAACCACTACTGCTCAAATTCGGCGTCCACTGAAATACCATCAATCATCTCCATCTCAGTCACCATCAGCCCTAGAACAGACAGACACTCCTATTTCAGGTAAGGCCAGCACTAACACAAAAATGACTATCTCTGACCAAGACACAGAACTACACAAGAACAAGTATCACTTTTGCCCAAGGCATAAGAACTCAAGTGTCAAAAGTACCCACCTTCATCCAGGCACCATCATCACTGGAAAAGGAAACCACCTCTGCTCAAGGATCAGCAGCCATGGAGACAGGTATAGAAACTTCTGCTCAAGGGCAGTCACCCTTGGAATAGGCACAACCATCTTTTTTTTTTTTTTAATTTTATTTATTTATTTGAGAGAGAGAGAATGAGAGATAGAGAGCACGAGAGGGAAGAGGGTCAGAGGGAGAAGCAGACTCCCCGCCGAGCAGGGAGCCCGATGTGGGACTCGATCCCGGGACTCCAGGATCATGACCTGAGCCGAAGGCAGTCGCTTAACCAACTGAGCCACCCAGGCGCCCTAGGCACAACCATCTTAACACAGTCCTAAGCACAACCACCATGGGAACTGTCACAACTTTCACCAAGGCACACCCACCTGTGCATCAGGCACATCATCCTTATCCCATATACCATCATCCCATTCACATTATTTCCAAAACAGGTACCATCACCTCTTCCCAAGAATCAGCCACTGCTGAAATAGGATCAGTCTCTCCAGTGCAAAGTTTAACCATTACCAAAAGAGGCATAACCACCCTAATCCTGGACATAGCCATGGTGGGAACAGGCACAACCACTTTTGTCCAGGACACAACCACCCTGGATTGGGCACATCTCTCCTTACCCCAGACAGCACTATGATCAGAACAGGAACCACAACCTTTGCCTGAGGATCATCATCTAGTACTGACAAAGAAACATCAACCTCTGATTGAGCAATCACTGGAGCAAGCACATCCCTAAGTCCACGTCCAATCGTCATGAGAAAAGACAGCCCCTTCCATCTCAGTCACCACAAGCTCTGTCGCAGGTAATACCAGCCCTGGAAGATGAAAACCTTCTCTGGCCAAGGCAACAGCCCCCATGGGAATAGTGTGAACACTGCTTCTTAAGGACAACCTGCACTAGAACAGAGACCGCCACCTATGTCTTAGACACCAATTGTATTCCCGTGGCTGGAACATGACACTTTGCTCTGAGCACAACCCTCACGGAGATAGGCACAACCATTCCTGCTTCAGGCACCATGGCCCAGGGACCTGCCTCTACCTTAGGCACTGCAGTTGTGAAGTAGCATCTACCCTTGAAACTGTTGGATTCACTGAAAGCACCCGTGAAGCAGACCAGGTCCTTTCCAATGTACACACAGTTTGAGCCACACTCCAGTGACTGTGGTAAAGCCAAGATATTCATAGCCTGGGGCACATTCTCATTTCTCTGGCTTCAGCTGTAGTTGCTGTCATTCTGTTAGAACTTGGATTTTACCTGCCGAGTATTTGTCACTGGTTAATGAGGCTTTGGTGACAATAGATCACAGGTTAGGGTGTATGTGTGGAATGCATGGAAATAGTATCATTTAAAGATTTCATAGTTAGAAATAATAAATATTGAAGATTGTCAGAACCAAAAAAAAAAAAAGGACACTCAGACAGAAAGCACTGCATCTTATAGAGACAAGGTAGGAAGAGTAAAGCAGAAAACAAAAAGAGAGATGGAGAAAGGAGATAAAAATAGAAAGGGGAGGGAGGGTTGGAGTCTAGGAGAATGAGAGACAGGGAATAGAGGGAACAAAACTCTAAGATTCCCAAAATTTAACACCAAAGGGGGCCTTTTTAGATGCAAAGGAGAGAATTAAGTGTTCTACACTGGCTTCCCTTTGGGTTCTACCCTTTAATTCAGTTGTGCTCTCCAAGAGCACAGTCCTTGCCCTTTAATGTTTCTACCCCACTGGGGGTGAAACTGCTTGTATCTTCTTAGCAGAGCTGAACTAGGTTGGCACACAAGAGCCTGTGGCCATATCAAGGCAGAATAACAGGAATCAACCAGAGAGGATGGGAGACAAAACAGTCTCCCTGATGAAGTGCTGAGTTTGCAGAGCTCACCCAGGGCTCCCTGGCTCTCCAGCATTCCTCC